TTTATATATATATATATATAAAATTATATATATACATACGTATAAAGTTGCGTGTCACGTAATACATATATTATATATCATTCCTACAAGGTATAATTGTATATCAGGTGATATTATCAAGTGTAATTTATGCTTGATTTTTATATGTACATAAAAAGATAATGATTTTATAATTGATGGAAAAATATCTGTTCTCTATTTACTCAATTATTATTTTTAATTTAAGGCGTAGTTTTCCAAGAGATAAAATAACAAAGTCCTTAATAGATTTTTAAATAAATCATAATGATTCATAATGTTGAATTGCACATGTATGAGATTAGAATCAATCTTTTTCTTCCGCTGCCTTTACGGCAGAATTTCGAAAAAAAACGTTTAACTTCCATATTATCTTTCTTAATGAATTTTTTATTATTTTTCGTAAAATTTCATGTCGCTTTTTATTCTCGTTCTGTATCGGTTGTTACATCACTTGATTTGCTATATATACTCTTAGTTTCAATTGGATTTTTGTTATTTTTAGGTAGACGATGCTGATAATTAGCATAATTTTTCTGAGACATTTCTGCGACGCTCTTGTCGAAATTTACATAACTTTGCTCATTGATAAAACCACGTTCGCTGATATTGTCGAGCAATTCTATTTTAGGTGGAGACTCGTTATTGGTGAAGTCTATCGGTCTTGGATAACGATTGCTTGCGGTAATCAAATCTGTGATGGAAATTCGCATCTTATACAGATTTGTCAAAAAATTAGATTCATTAAATTCTAATAAATCATCCTTTATCTCGACAGAATCCAAAGATAGCTTGGGTCTTTTCCGAGAACGTGCTTGACCAAGATTCATACGCCACTTGGTGCTCACGAGCGCATTGTTCACATTTTCGGGATTCAGTACATATTCCGCACAAGGAAGTTGTAAACTTTCCAGCTGCGAATCTCTAGCAATTCTCTCGGCAAGACACTGACGATACTGCACAGTTGGAAAATTTATGTTAAATTCAATATGTGTCCACTCAAATTTTTGTATTAATTTGTTGCAACATGAATATGTTAGAAAGTAACTATTAGAAAATAAATATTATGTAAAAAAATTTATACAAAAATGTAATACTAACACAATTTATAAGCAAATTATAGATGCATATTTTTCAGTAAAATTAATATTTACGATAGGTTAAATTAATATATAAATTTAATCATTTATATATATATATATTTAATCATTTATATATATTTAATCATTTTTTTCTATTAGAACTTTAAATACATTACTTTTATGTTTGTTCATTTACTTATAAATTATATTATTTTGACACTAAGAGATATTAAATATTAATTTAATATAAAATATTTACATAACATAAAAAAATTATACTATATTAATTTTTAAATAGATAGGTGGTTTAAAATATATAAGTTAGTACATGAGGTGTTCAAAACACCTCAAAAATAATTTTAATTTGATAGTTGCATTTCTTATTATATTATGTTAAAAAAATTTACATTAGTTATATCCTTAAGAGTAAAAGAACATAAAAATAATGAACTTTAAGACTTCTAGTCTAAGTTCTAGTCAATAATTTTTTCTTCTAACATTTTCTATTTTTCTTTTTTAAAATAATATTTTTAAATAAAACTATATTTGTGCTATGACTATCTCATCTGCCCACTTAAAGCTTAAATTAACACTTGGATATGCTAAAAATTTAATATAAAATTTTAACAAGGACTTGAGTGAACCAGGTTGAATAACACAAATACAAAACAATGTTAAAATTATTTTAAGACCGTGAATATGAACAAACAATTAAGAATAAAGGTTAATTGGTCAAGCTGGATCTTAATGTTAAAAACAATTTGTGTGAAATTATATCACAATTATATCACAATTTCAATCCTATAAACTACGCGCTGAAATTATTGTCTTGCTTGTCTAAAATTTAATTTGTGATATTACTACTTCTAATTGCGTTTCAAAATTGAAAATAATTTCGATGCTCAGTTTACAAGATTACAATTGTAGTATATAAATTCACACGAATTATTTTCAACATTGAAATCCAGCTTGACCGCTTAACAAATACAAAATATTTTTTACTATGTGTAAGTAAGAATCCTCATCAGGTACTATGACCGCTCCCGGAATAGGTATGGCGGGGTCTTTGATTTTTCCCGGAACTTTTTGTATAGATGTCGGCAGAATCTTCCTTCTCGTGGTATATAGATCCATTTCGAAATCTTCTCGGTCGAACATGAGGTTTAACGACGTGACGTATACGCTAAGTCTCTGATTGGTATTAAGCATCTTCGTGATCGCATATATTAGAACGTTCATATTTTTGCAACGTAGAACATAGATCGCGCCACGATTTCTCGAAAACAACGGCGGACCGATCCAGCAAGGATCAGCAACATAATAAGCATCTTTAGTCGCCAAAGCTGCCAAGGCGATCCTGTTGCACACGATGATAACGTTACGCGCCTCTTCAAAGGCAAAGTTCAACGCGTCGGTTAATGTTAAGCTATTCTGTTCGCCATACAGAATCCCGCATACACTAGTACCGAAATCAATGGTCCATGAGTGTGGAAATATCTTGAAGGAAGTTTGCAAGCCGAATCTGTTATCATACTTCGAGCAGCTCTGCATTAAACTCTTCAAGCTTTCCGTGTAGTAGGAATCTCCGCAAATAACGGCCGAATCCAGGATGGCCGAACTCCATCGCGAAGGATGACAAAGATTCCGCATAGCCAGGACAGCTACGCATATGGCGACGCAATTTTTCCCAGCTCGTTCACCGAATCGACAATCATAAGCGCCGATCGTGCCCCAGATGGAATAAATTAGACCGATCACCTCAATCGCATAGTTGTTCCAAAATTGCCGATTGGCCTTTGACCTATCGCCGTACTTCGCTTTCTTACACGATCTCATAATTGAATGCGTGAAGTTCCAGTGATAGTCCAAATAGAGCCACATTGGATCTTCCTGAAACTTCTCAAACGGCGGCGCATTGATGGAATTTACGTGAATTCTATGGAGAAAGAATCCAGTCGTGCCTTCGTATTGATTAAGGCACATGTGTTTCACCATTTGACATACGGAGGAGAAGATACAGAGACAGGCGTTGCCGTTGGCACAAGTCTTTCTGCCATTCGTATCACATTGATAGGGATCCAGATAATAATAGCAATTGGTCGCTCTCGAGTACCAAAAGCCGTAGCAGCAATTTGTAAAGTGCAATATACCACTCGTGTACATCTTAAAATAACGTTTTAGATGGTGTTTCACCTAAAACCATTGATAGTAATGTTTATATATAAAATAAAATTATGTATTAAGAACTAGAATTCTAGCTTCAATAAATTTTAAATACAATCTAAATTATTTTTAAACTAATTACACTGATTGACATTTCATTTTTCTTATATTAAATTGATTTAATAAGATGTTTTTTATAGTATTTTTTGCACTGATTTAGAATTTATTTATTGAATTTATTAAAAATGCAGGATTTTTGAGTAACACACATTAAAAAAATTTTTAATTGATACATTCCGATAATTTACTATGATCGACAAAATTTTACTTTTTGTATTATAAAAATTGATTTAAAAGAGTGTTTCTTGTACAAATATTTACCAAATTTATGAGAACATTTTTAATGAGCATTTAAAAATTCCTCTTTTGCTTAGGCATATTTATAGAAATCATAAATATTGTATTTATCTTTTTTTTTTGCTTAAATATAAATATAACAAAGAGCTAATTATAATATCTATATGATTTCCTATTTATTATAAAAGGCTTTAAAGCAAGATAAATAATTAAGTTAAAAACACAATGAATTGTTATTAGCAAAATGTATAAGTTTTTAAAAAGGGATATGTATTTACAAAAATTGAAGCCTACAGGATAAATTCTAACTCATTTTCAAAATTTCAGAATCAGCTAAAATTATCTATTTAATTATTGTCGACTAGCATATAATAAATAGATATAAACAGAGATAGAAATTAATAGAATAATTTTAAAAAATCTTGTTAGTTAAGTAAAAAATAATAAATTTTAAATATAATAAATTTTAA